TATGAAAGCTGAAGCGACTCTTTTTTTTGGCCGATTGTTCGGCTTTTATACTTTTTGACCGATCTGGGATAAGAACGGGAAATTATTTAAATTAAATTTGAAATTATTTAAATTAAAAGCAAATTTTTGTAAATGGCCAAGAGGAAAAGAGTATTTATGTGAAAGTATGGAGTAAAAACATCAGACCGGTAACGAATTTCGAATAAAAATTGCCATGACAACCAGATAAACAACGATGTCAAAACATGTCAAATTTTGGTTTTAGGCTCGTAATAGAGAAACGGCAAGATTTAAGCGAAAATGAGATATTATTTATAAAGGAAAAAAGGTAGCGCAACAGCGCGCACGAAGCCCGAAATTGCAGAGTTACGGAGAACTAAATAAAAGACCGAAAAAGGTAGACTCCATTGACACCGATTTAAAAAGTGCTGATAGCGCGAAAATACGATGTGAAAATGATTTGTTATTGTGTTCTTATGGTTTAAAAACGTTACAGGATCCTATGGAAATAAAGGTGATGCAAAAGATCCAGTTTTGAGGCGAATGCAGAAAATCAAAAACAGAATGGAAAAATAAATTTAAAATAGTGTAAAATGATATGTAAGTAGCATAACACTACAGACTGGTGTCGCAAATGTACAAGTTGTGCGGCTGTAAAGGGACCTCAGACTCGTAGTAGAGGTGCATTGAAGTTGTACAATGTTGGTGCACCATGGGAGAGAATAGCCATTGACGTGGCGGGGCCGTTTCCGGAGAGTGAAAGCGGTAACAAGTATTTCATGGTTGTGATGGATTACTTCACTAAGTGGCCAGAAGTCTTCGCCATTCCAAATCAAGAAGCTTCAACAGTTGCAGATAAACTAGTTCATGAAGTCTTCTGTCGTTTTGGAGTACCTTTGGAGATTCACAGCGATCAAGGAAGGAATTTTGAGTCTCAAATATTCCAGGAAACTTGCCGAGTTATGGGTACTCATAAAACAAGAACGACTTCTTATCATCCGCAATCTGATGGAATGGTAGAACGATTTAATCAGACATTGGAGAGGTACCTAGCAAAAGTTGTAGACAATCGGCAACGAGATTGGGACAAGCACATACAACCGTTTTTGTTGTCATATCGAAGCGCTGTTCACGAAAGTACAACAGTGACACCAGCTTTCGCAAACTTTGGAAGAGAATTACGGCTGCCTGCAGACCGGATCACCGGGATACCACCTGATGCTTCACGCAGTATAACTGATTATGCAAATGACTTGCGGAACAAAATGAATGACGTTTATGAGCACGTCAGACAATCGGGCCAACAAATGTCTGAAAAGATGAAAACCCGGTACGACCGCAAAATGAACAACAAAGGGTTCGACGAAGGTTCACTTGTGTGGTTGCACAATCCAGTCCGCAGCAAAGGGAAATCTCCTAAGCTTCAAGCTAAATGGGACGGCCCGTACCGGATTGTGACCAGGATCAACGATGTAACCTACCGGATACAGAAAGGCGCAAGAGGGACTCTTTAGATCGTCCATGTGGATCGCCTGGCGCGTTATTATGGGGCCGATAATGCTCGGGACGAGCATTTCTTAGGAGGGGGAAGTGTTGCGCGGCTAAGTTGACATCTCATCTCATGGCACTAGCGCCATCTAGTGTCGGGTAACAGAGCGAGGAGAGAGCTTTCCAGAAAATGACATGACAAATTTTTTACCGACAGCGCCATCTAGTATCAAATTGAAGAACTAAACTTTCTAGAAGCTCTACACTCGATCTTTCTGCGCTTGGTCGGTTGGCGCGCGTATTTACTCGAATATTCTGGAATATTCTGGATGTTTTCGTGGAAGAGCCCTATATAAAGGCGCTGCAATACGCGATCAGGAAAGTATTGAAGTTGGCGAGACAAGCGAAGCTTCGGAGCGAAATAATGTGAATCAGTGTGATTAATTATTAGTGTTTTTAACTTTAATTAGTGTAAAGTGAATTAAAGTGTTAATTTAGGTAATTCTATCGGCAATTTTTATTGTCACGAACCTCTAGCTCGTAACATTAACAATAATTCTAAAAACATATTATTTTATACAGTTTCCATACATAAGATATTGCCATTTTAATGACACGCGCCACGTAGACAATAAATCATTCATTTAGGGTTGGACAGTATGCGCCAAAGCGACCATTTTGGCCGGGACGGTTAAGAGGTTAGTTATATTTAATGTTTATAACATTGAAATATTTGACCACCACCAGAGATTTTTCCGGACCGATAGGACTTATGGACCTCCAAGAAAAGAGCCTATTCCTTTTTAAAAGGCCGGCAACGCATCTTCAATTCCCCTGGTGATGCAGTTGTTCACGGGCGGCGGTAATCACTTACCATCAGGTGAGCCGTATGCTCGTTCGCCCCCTCTTCTTTAAAAATAAATAAATAAATAAACCAAACCACGGATATTCATAAAAGTAGAAAATTCAAAAATGTAAAAAAAATTAAAAAAAAATAAAGAGCAATCGACTGAGACATTGTTGTCTTTTATTTGAAACTAACTCCTCAACTCCTTTGTAACAATAAAACTTTACTTCAGTGTCAACTAGCGACATCTAGTGAGCGGAAGATTATTTATTAACCCTCATTATATGGAGTGTAGAGATAAGAAGAACAAACTCTGTATAAAAAGGTGTCCGTAGAAGAGCGCTAAATAAGGGTACAGTAAAGTAAAGTAAAGTTACAGCCTATATACGTGCCACTGCTGGGCACAGGCCTCCCCTCATTTTTGAGAGGGTTTCAGGGCAAGGAAGTGTCTGCCGCGCAGCCCCAATGCGTGTTGCACACTCTTTCTTATTCCTCAGACATAATCTACCTTCAAATAAATCAACACTTAAAATTGCAATTAACAATTTCATTTACAGGGTCACCCGTTACTCGTTCTGTTATATTTACAGCAAGCGTTAACCTTCTGAGCTACCACGGCTAAATAAGGATGGCGGGTGACTTTCAGTATAATTCTTTTTAGAATAATTATTTTATTGTTTTTAAATTTTATTTGCAAAATCACTGTCAACGTATTTTACGGCGAATTTTCATACCGTGTAGCTACTCGAACTACTACTCTACACAAACGCTATTGTGGAGAGTTTTTGAACTGTTACATACTGCTTACAGATGGACACATTTTCAACTATTCTCCTATGGGAGATTGCATAGAATACTATAATACATACACAATAGAACGGGGGAGTGGACGGAGCCCGTGTAGCCACTAAAATGTCACTAACATGTCAATTCACACGTATAAATGTCAACACAAGATGTGTTTTGACGTTACAATCGTTTCTAAATGTCTCATGCAAATTATTTAGAAAATGCCAAATTGCACGCTATTTACAAATAAATATGTATTAAAATCTGTCTGTCAACACAGCGAATCGGGTTTGTAGTAGTGATAATACAACGTTATTGCTTGTATGTGTGCTCCCGGCGACGCCTATCGTCGTACAAAATAAGGTTAACAGCCATTCTATTGTGTATTATAGTATTCTATGGGAGATTGTCTTCCTTACGTCTATACTCCATGCCTCATTAGTTGGTCGCGCTGCCCCGATCTATATTGACGCTTTACAGGTTTTCGAAATGATTTATTACTCATGAAGGTTACCCCACGATACTTTCTTTCCTTGACGAGAAAGTGGTACGTAATCAGTACTTAAAATTGCAATTCACAATGTAAGTAGTACCGGTGTGTATCAAATTTGAGTCACTTGCATATTACGAAGCATCAAGCGTCATCAAAGTCCTGCAACTACTGCAGGTGCGTATAAGTAGAAGTATAAGTCGTTAGATCCGGAAATTAAACCACTGCAAACCACTAATAGCACTTAAAATTGCAATTAACAATTTCATTGGTGCCGGCGGGGATCGAACCCGTACTGTGAAATTTACAGCGAGCGCTAACCATCTGAGCTACCACGGCTCCACTTTAAGTGCTAATTTACCATTTGCTCAGCGGTGAAGTAAAACATCTTGATTAAAAAACTACTTTTGTATGTGTGTGTGTAGGGTTCGCGTGAAAATAAGAAATCAGAAGGAAAACATCGTTAGGAAACCTGCATGTCTGAGAAATAAAAACAAAAATAATATTTCGAAGACATGGAACGCAACAACATAGCGGCGACACTTCCTTGCCCTAAAACACTCTCCGAAATGAGGGGGAGGCCTGTGCCCAGCAGTGGGACGTATATAGGCTGTCACTTTACACCAATAAGTTTATTTGGTATCGCGCAAGTACAAGTTAGATAGTATGTGTATTATTGCATTGAAGACATTCTATATAGAGGTAAAATCTCTACATAGTATAAAACAAAGTTACTTCCCGCCGTATTTACGCTTAGATCTTTTAAACTACGCAACGGATTTTGATGCGGTTTTCATTAGTAGACAGAATGTTTCAAGAGAAAGATTTATATGTATGATATATACATATGTTGTCGAGATCCATAAATCACGCGTGCGAACCAGAGGCGGATATCAGGTAACTAATAATAAATAAATTATGGTATATTACATAATTTATCTACAGAAAGTCGTTAGAGGCAACTGAGAAGTGACTGGAAGTTTTCCCAGCTTCTGTATAAACAAACCTGTATTTATTCCTGATGTAAAATAGAAAAATGACTATGTCTAATTAAGTCTATTTTTATAGAATAAAGTTGACAAACGAACACACAGTCCACCGGATGGTAAGAGGACGCTGTGGGCCATACACATCTAAATTTATGCTCGATTAAGAATCAAAACGCAGATGCGTTGTCACCCCTGAGGACTAAGATGGAATGCCTCGTTTCCAGTAAAAAGGGTTTACGGATCTCTACACTCACCATACGAAACAAAGCAGCATTACGCTTGAGAGCGTGCTCCTTCCCTGGTCGAGCCGACTCATTCGTGCTACAACCATAATATAGCTGTAGCGTGGCTCTACAAAGTATAGAAATTTTATTCAAAAATTTGTATTCATCCTTACCAACATCCTGATTCTCTTCAAACAATTTAGAATGCTTCTCTTTCAGTCTTCTTATGTTCGCCAGCTTACTATCTCGCTCGTCCGACAAAATTATACGCTTGAACCGAAGAATTTCCAATTGCTTCGTCAGTCTCACATGCTCTGCCCTTTGAAAGGGAGAAGGTTTAGACTGTAAAGATTTGTATTTTTAATTATCTTACATTAACCGCGATTTCCTCTAAATATCAAACAGAATAATATGCAGAATAAAACGACTTGTTCTTGTATAGACTTACAAAAACCAGACTTCCTAGCCGTGTTTAGAGTAGGGTGACAAACGAGCCGAAAGAACGATGAGGCTAGAAAGAAAGAGGATAATGTCGACCAAGAAAACCCATCACCTCATATCATCCAGTGAGTGTCGTAAGAGACGTCCGAAGGAAACGGCACAGAAGGGCAACAGCAACAATAACACAAAAAAAATGGCGGTTGCCAGCCCGGTTTTACTAATCGTGGCATATACAACAAAAGGCGCACTTTTGCTACACTGTAATGATGTGGACAAACGACCACATATTTTATCTTATTAGACCCACAAACATAGAGATCTATCACACACTACAATAATAACTGTATGGAGTTTAAAATTTCTCAAGGGCTGATAAAGAACGAGACGTAAATATGTAGCTCAATATGTTAATTAACTCTTTCTATTAGCTGTCTAAAACACAAACAAATGAAATAAAAAAAAATGAAAATTCCACATTAGTAGTAAAAAGGGTCTCCGGTCCTCATTGGTTCCCATACGAAACACAGCAGCATTACGACACTCGTTTATATGTGGTAGAGCCACGCTGCAGCTATATTATGTTTGTAGCACGAAAGGGTCGGCTCGAACGGGGTAGGACCACGCTCTCACAGAATACCAGCGTAAAATAGCATTATGCTGTGTTTCGTATGGTGAGTGTAGTGAACCGGAGACCCGTTTCACTGAAATCGAGGCATTCCATCTTTGTCCTCAGGGTTGACAACGCATCTGCATTGTGATTCTTAATCGAGGTTAAATGTAGACGTCTATGAGCCACAGCATCTACTTACCATTAGGTGGACTGTGTGCTAGTTTGTCACCCTAATTCTATATTTAAAAAAATCTCCAACCGAGTTAGCTAATTTGTGCTGCAGCAGAATGACTCACTCAAAAGGATTCTCATATAAAGTTAATTGATAGAATCAGGCGTTACTTTGCGGAAATCCATTATAATAAAGATATTAATTACAATGGATTACTTTACCGCTAAGAGCGGTCAGCCGCCGTAGAATCTACATCACCTGAAGATGCCTCATGTAGAGGCGAAACACGTGTCGTATTATCGTCGATGGTGTGTCTCTCCTAGTGTAGTGGTGTTTGAAGTAGTGGAGCTGGGATTAGTGGTGACGGGATTAGTGCACGCAATTGAGGGAGGGCGGGAGGTGGTCCTCAAACTAGGTAAGACACATCATTTAATTGAGCGGATGGTTGCAAAGCAACTGTTAATATCTTTCTCATATAAAGTGTAAACTCTGTTTCAATTAAAATAATATACAAACCTTAAAAGACAAAAGGTCATTCAATTTCAAAGTAAGCCGCGGTCCATTTGACACTGGCCTTTCTTCTTTAATCTTTCCATTTTTAACGCTCAAGTCGCTATGAGATGCAGACTTCCCCTTATCGTACATATCGTCGGGAGAAAACAAATTTCTCTGGGATCGACTTTTCCTATGTCTAACGTCACACCGGTCGTTAGATTGGAGCCAGCTATCATCAGTAAGAGCGGATTTCTTAAAAATTCTCTCTTTAATGTCTTGTACCGCTTCTTGCCGTTTCTTTATAGAGTACTGTAATAGATGCAGCTTCTGTAGTTTACTGGCGTTGTAACTAGGCCGTATTTCAGATTTAAGAAAATTTAAAGCCAGATATCGATATTTCGGCTCACCATCGGACTCGTTCCTCAAATCGTAATTCTCAGCGGTTTCACTTAAATCTATTTTGCTTCCAGACAATTCCTCTTGTGAGGCGTATTTCGAATGGTTATCACAGGTCATATCACTGGTTGTTACGTCTAAATGGTCAGGCGAATGCTCATATATTTGAATTGGGTCGTTTCGTTTTCTTTCACTGCTGCCTTCCCTACTACGATTCACTTCCCTTTGATTAAGAGAAATATTTAAGCTTGCGGACGATTTTAGAGTGGGAAAATTCTGCTTGAAGCCTCTTTCGACTGGACTGTGACTTTTGGAGTACTCCTTGTCAGATATCCGTGAGTATTTGCTGGGCGATATTGATCTAGATTCTTTTATTAGTTTATGGTTTTGTATAGCTTTCGATTCGAGAATAACTTTAGACACATTGGTCCTTCCAGAGGAGTCTGAAGAGAGAGATCCGTGTTCAACTTCGTTCTCTGGAGGTATAACGTCTAATTTGAGGCTTTTATACGAACAAAAATAGCCTCCGTGCATTTGAAATACAAGCGTGTTGCTTTTGAAACAGTCAGACGTGAAATTTAAAGATAAATTGGCCCCGATATATCTAAGACCGCTGAAATAGACGCCCCACGTTTGTATGACGGTGTCTTGAGGTTCACATTTTTCTTCCGTATTGATAGGCCATAAGATATGACACCATATTCGAATTACGACGTTCGTGGAAGACATTCGTTGCGTTATTTCTGAAATCAGATTAAATACGGAATACGTTTAAACAAAAATAAATTGGAGATGAGCTATAATAATATCCGCTAGACATAATTTAGGTCACGGTAGCTAGTCTCAATTGAGACTAGTCATTTACACAGGACCATAGAATACTATAATACACAATAGAATGGCTGTCAACTTTATTTTGTACGAAGTTTGGTGTCGCCAAACCCGATTCGCTGTGTTAACAGACTAAGTAAATTTACACATTTTAGACTTTTGTTTAATGTTCAAGATAATCAATCAAATTAACAAAAATAGTTTAAATTTTAATATATATTTATTTGTAAATAGGGTGCAATTTGGCATTTTTTAAATAATTTGCATGCGAAATTTGAAAACGATTATAACGTCAAAACACATCTCGTGTTGACATTTATAAGTGTGAATTGACGTGTTAGTGACATTTTAGTGGCTACGCGGGCTCCGCCCACTCCACCGTTTTATTATGTATGTATTATAGTATTCTATGCACAGGACAGAATTATAATGCACGAGTATATGTGCGTGAGCACAAGTGCAACTTCCGACACGACCGGCGAGATCCGGTGCAGGGTCAACTTTTTAAAGTGCTTTCCTAAGCACTGGTTTAAAATATCACCCACTTCACGATTCCGGCCTGCTGATGAGAGTTTATTGACAGAAAACTGATTATGGCCTGACCCGTTTAACAGTAGCGTTTACGACCATTGAACCCACGAGTCGGTCAGGTTCTTTTAGTTAAGTATTTAGCTTTGTTGAATACTCAAAGGTATTAAAGTAGGAGAAACAGAAGAAGAGCTGAAACATTCCACTTACGCCTCATCAGACTGAGAAATCGAAATCCTTTTCGAAATCGAATTCCTATTTCTACATTTGGGTCACTTTAGAAACAGTTGACCGATTTAATACGAAAGCTTTAATAGAAATATTTTGCTTACAGTGTTTTTATATCCGCATTGTGTTGTTTAAAGTGATTGCGTTTTGCAGTCTTTCAATGTGACAGTGGGAAAATTACTTTGTTTACATTCAAAAAATATAAACCGACGTTTGTTATTGAAGGCGATAATACGATTAAATATAGATTTATTAATAGTTCAGTAAAGTAAAGATACAGCCTATGTACAGGCTTTAAAACGTATGTATATGTCAGACTCCTGGTACAGACCTTCTGTCATTTCTGAGAGGGTTTCAGGGCAAAATGTGTTGTCTTCAAAGACTTCACATGTTTGTAAAATATTTTTTTATTTCTCAAAAATGCAGCTACCTCGCCAGCGTTTTCCTTCAATGCTGAGCACGTGGTAAATCCACAATTAAAAATATTAGTAGTATAGTTGTACCTGCGTAAAATAGTGGCTTAATGCTGCTGTGTTTCGTATGGTTAGTGTAGAAAACCGGAGACCCTTTTTACTGGAAATGAGGCATTCCATCTTAGTCCTCACGGGTGACAAAACATCTGCATTTTGATTCGTGATCGAAGATAGATGTAGATGTCTATGGGCCACAGCAACCACTTACCACCAGGGACTGTGTGCTCGTTTGTCACCCTGTCCTATAAAAAAACCCATCTAATCCGGGTAGATCGCGTACTATGAAACTTAAAGCGGACGCTTAGCCTAGGGTTGCCAGATGGTCGGAATTCGTCTGGATTCTTCCGACATTTTAAATGATCTCCAGACTCCCGACAAAGTTCAGAATCTCCAGACAAACAGCTTCTCGGAAAGCAAATGTATGTTCCTTGATTTAATATAAGCTGAGTAGACTGAACTTTTAAATAAATTGCTTGAATTTTAAATATTTTCTGAAAACTAGTAAGGGATCCAAATTGGTGGACTCCAAAGTCCAAAGTCCAATGCCAAATACATGTGTCAACCTAAAAATTAAGTGTACTTAAATGAGTTTCGTTTAAAGTACTTTTTGTTGTTTCTTAATTCAAAAAATAAACTTTTTAATTTTAATATTTATTTCTCCCGACACAACCCTAAAATCCCGACATTTTCAAACTTTATCCAGATATTTCGGTCTTCTGATCTGGCAAACCTACTAAGCCCTTGAGCTACTACGGCTCAATACGTTAGTAACATCGTATCATTTAGAATTATTTGACGGCAGCCCATAACGGCAGTATTCTACATACCATTACAGCCTATAAGTCTAATGATGAACATAGACCTCACCCATAAGTTGCCACATAGGGGATTACTTAGTAGTTGCCTGCCACGTTTGACAGTGGGTGGCAGTAGGTATAGTCTGTTCGCTGAGATAGTGTCGGTACACAAAGAGGCGCACTTATTTTGCTTTTATTTTATTATTTTTACTGTGTTTGTTAAATAAATGTTTTTCTATTCTGAGAATCAAATAGAATACTATTTTATTCTTATGGTTATTGTCTTAACATACTGATATAAATAATAAACAAAAGTTAGGTATAGGTAGCAAAGAACATTTTCTACGGCGCGTTCGTTTTAAAATGCCAAATTCTCCTGCGGGTGTACGCCGCACGCGGCGGCCTTTGACATCGCGGTGCCTTTGACAAGATAAAGCACGTGCCAAAGCGGCGCGACACAAATTCGACCGTATAGATCTAAGCGAACAGACTATAGTCATAGAGAAGGCCGCGTGCTGATCAAAAAGGGAAAAGCAATGAAGACGAGGATGATGATGATTTATGATTTGGTATTGTTACCAATCATCGTGTCGTCTCTTTGGTCGTTTTTGAGCTATCTAACCGCTGTCCGATTGGGGGAGTGCGAACCCCCGTCTCTGACTGCTCAGCTCGTGTTGGTCGATGTTCAGGGTGGTTAGAACCGCCCATCCTCACAAAAAAATCTGTATTGATGATAGATACACTCAACAGACTATTGAAAAAAGAACATTAGAAATTACACAAAATTCAGAGCTTATTCAGTCAATCGGTCAGTAATTATTTTGTTGGCAACATTTGAAAAAAAAAAATGGCGACATTTAATTTAATTTTTTTGTAAATATATATATATATATATATATATATATATATATATATATGTATATATATATATATATATATATATATATATATATATATATATATATATATATATATATATATAAATCCCAGCTTTTTGCACTCTTTCTCATTCTCACACCTGTCCGTTCGCGCAATATGCTTCAAAAAGGATACTAACTTTACGTATATTACGTATAGATTATATTAAACTCTATGTACATTGTTTATACGGTGGAAGCAAACGCGTCGACGTCTGGGGGTCGAAGCTTAGATTAGCGGGAGTTCATATCGTCAGCGCATGAGTCATCCGGACAGATAACGTTCGAAAGGTGCAATACATAGTCATCATATATAATGTGTTTTTGTTTGTGTACAAAGTTATCAAGTTTTTATTTTTATTTACGCGCTTATTCTGAAATTATGTGAAATGTTACTACAAAATATGGCTGCAGTCCTGGAATTTTTGACGTTATAGGTATCAAATTTCTCACTTCATAGCCTGTATTTTCTATACGATGCCGCTAATGAGGCAATTTATTAATACTTATTTTTTTTTTATAGAATAAGGGTGACAAACGAGTACACAGTCCACCTGATGGTAAGTGTAGTGTCACTTGTCGCTGCTATTTTACGAGAATTCCCGTGGGAACCGGAAACGAGGCATTCTATTTTAGTCGTCTGAGGTGGGAACGTATCTGTATTTTGATTATATCTGTAAATGTCTATGTGCTTTAGCATCCTTCACTTACCATCAGGTGGACAATTTTTTTGCCATCCTTATTTATTTAAAAAAAAAAACTGAGAGAACGCCGTCCATGCATAATCAAGCTGACTCATGGAGGTATATTGCAGCAGCCTGGCTCTAAACAAAACACCTAACCACTCAAGCGTTCACGGTAACTGTAGTCCCCACAAAAATTCTTGCATTAAATGTCCATGGTGACTACAGTCACCGAACGACATTGCTCACTTTAAACATATACAGCGTTAAAGACAGATGTTAATAATACAGTAGAAAAATAAGAGATGGTGCTATTTGAAATTCATCATCCATGAGAGTGAATATTATCTGTGTAATGGCAAAAAAATATTCAGAAAAAAGGCGAATATCACACGCGCGGCTTGGACGTTTGAGTGGATAACATATCGTTTGACTCATCAATCATTGTAGAGAAGTCTTAGTCAAAAATATTTTATTACCTCAAACCATATATATTATATATCTACTATTGAACAATATGGATCAAAAAATTGTACTGAATCAGATATTAGACATCTACTGAGAAGTACCATCAAAATTGAAGCTGTCTTGTTTGAATGATTATTGGTTTTTTGTATCTAGAGAGGTGTGGGTTCTGAAACCATATTCATAAGGGGCTTTGTGATAGCAGTATAATAGAATATACTAACTTATATCATCTCATGGGTTTCGTAAGAGCCGACAGAGGAAAATAAAATAACAGATGGGAAGCAGCATATCACTGATAACAAATCTACATAATACAAGTGATAAAATTAAAAATTTTGTACAACTGACTTCAATACGACTTTAATAGGTTTTTTTAATAGGTTAAGGATGAGAAACGATCACACAGTCCACCTGATGGTAAGTTGATACTGTGGCCCATAGACATCTACATTTATCTTAGATTAAGAACCTAAACGCTGATGCGCTGTCACTCCTGAGGACTAAGATAGAATGCCTTGTTTCCAGTACAAAAGGGTCTCCGGATCTCTACACTCACCATACGAAACACAGCGGTATGAAACTGCTATTTTACGCTGGTATTCTTTGAGAGCGTAGTTCTTCCCCGGTCGAGCCGATCCACTCGTGTCGTGACTATAATATAGCTGCAGCGTGGCTCTACCACGTATTAAACGACGGTAGGAATTGTTTTGTAAGTTTTAACTAGTATAAACACTTAATTGTACCATTTTTGATAAGTTACTTAAGTATTGTAAGTATTTCAGGACGGATTCTTTTATTTACAAGTGGTAAAATTAAAA